TATGCGGACGCTAAGCGGCTGGAAACTTATAATATTTTTTTGAGGAGTGGTTATGTGTTGGAAGCATATTAAAATAAAATTATACACATTCACAATACAAATATATATAAAAAACAAATAAAACAATATCCAAATGCTCTGAAATAAGATTTTACGAACTGTTGAATTGAATTCAGATTTCAAACTTTGTGTATAGTTTTTTAAAAAAATCAATTAAGATAAACGTTTATAAACTTGTTACAAATTATGTTTTCAAGGTATATAAAAATGAAGATGTTCAAATCATTTTGTAGAATAGCTGCTGCCTGCTGAGAGATAAACTTACATTAACAGTAACAAAATCTTATTTTTTTCTGTTATTAAAGACATTGACAGAATATTTATATGAAGACTGAAACTATAGCCTATATGGGTGGCAATGAGTGAGAGTGTGAGACGATAAGAAGTGAGATTATCTGTGTGCTTGTACCACATTTATAGCTTTGGGTAATGACTGATTTCGGAGAGGTTTGTAAGAAAAAAAGTTTTACAACTAAATATGCTAATATTTAATATATGTTTTACCCATTTTCGGCCCGAAACTTTTTTTGGGCACAAAGACCTTTCTATAGATATTAAAAATAATGAAAATTTAGTGAAACACATGAAATATGTTGCGACTATCGGAGCCAAATTCGTCGAGTCAAAGTTGAAAAACACAACAAATATCAATTCATTATTTAAAAACTGAGGCCCAGAATCCAATAAAAGTTCCGATTTGGTTAGCCACATTACTCATTTTAAGCTTCCCTTCAACATCACTTTGTTTAGGCCCAACGCACTAACCTTTTTTTTTTATATAAAAAATAAAATTCCATTGTCCAATAATAATAAAAAAGTTCTTTACAGAGGGTTTTTTCATGGGTAAACTATTGAATGTTAAGCTCATGTAAATTTAAACAAAAAGATTAGGTAGGAATTTAATCAACTAATCGGTGCCGGCTCAATACTTTGACGGGCCCTAGGGCAAAAAAAATTTTGGACCCTTAGAATTTTTTTTTTTTAGTGTTTTTGTGTTATAAAAATTTTTTGTATGATATTTTTAATAAAAATTTAATTACTAAAACTAAAAACAGTAAATAAAAAAATTTATGGGCTCTTATAAATTTTATTTTTATGTTGTAATTTAATTTTTTAATACTTTTATAAAAATATTTTAAAAAATAGGCCCCTTAATTATTGGAACACGGGATTGGGCCCCTGGCCGTCGCACCGCCCGCCCCTATATCTGAGCCGGCACTGCAACTAATAAGTCCTCGAAATATATGTTCAGAAGTTGTCCAATTCAACAACTTCCACACTGTATTTAACGACTACCTTATTTGAATGTGTTTTTTTTTTATTTAACGTTTAAGCTCTTCCTCTTACTTACAGTCAACAGTCTGCACAAGAACAAACCAGCTCTAACCGGATTGGTTTGCCTTTTCATACCTGAACCAGATTAGTTATGGTGCTTATCAGATAGATAAACGGAATACTGGTTAGTCTAGTCTACACGATGTTGCATTCTACAATCATTTCAATAATTGACTATATTCTTTTAATATATATTTTTGATATGCAGAATCATACATACAGATACGGCATGGAATGCTTTGTGACATTTCCTTGAAATCTTGAAACACTTTGTAATGACAATAAAAGGAAAAATTTAAACTATTTAAAAATTGGTAGAAGAGCTTTAGATGCATTGTACCTAGCAATTACAATTGGTTTGTCGTAAAGTAAGATCACGTTGTTTAAATTTTCTAAAAGAGTGTGGTCAAATGAATTAGTGAACTTTGTATTAGCTTTGTATAAATATAGAATAATATATTAGCTTCATACACGCATGCTCCATTCATGCATACATATATGGTGGTAATATCTTTTAAACCGTGTTATATTTTGCGTCGGTGGCATAATTTGTTGAAGCTCCACACTACTGATTTTCAACCCATCCCAGATATGATACCTTTTGCCACCTACAGGTATTTGATCAATGGTGATAAAAAAAAGAAAAAAGAAGAAAGTATTTGATCCATCTCATCACCATATATACCTCACTAGAAAAAAACTCCAACTAAGAGAAATCCGTTTTTTTTTTTTTTAAGTTTCATTTGTTGATGGTATACTTCTTTTTTTTTTTTAATAATAAAATGGTATACTTCTACAAAAATTATATCAATATGTATAATTATGAAGTAGGTGTTATTGACATGTTGCGTTGAGAATTGGATTGAAATTTTGAGTGGGAGTCGGGTAAATGGGTAATCGTTATATATATGATTTTATCAGTTAATCATACAATTTTTACTAAAGCGTGAGTAGATTCCTGTCAGAAACTCAATAATACGAGACGCGATATAACAATTATCGATACCCAGATTATATTTTTACGTCATATTAATTATTTATATGAAGAAGTTGTTTCTCATAATAATCAAACATCCTCCAGTTTTATGACTTTGACTTCTAGATAGAGAGCCATTGACAATTATATCATGCATGATTCGCGTCGTCAAAGTAAGTATGAAAAATCAAGGAAAACGATTTAACGAAATGTCAATATTCAAAATATTGTAGAAGAGCCTAGAAAAAAGTTGAATTACAGAACAATATTATAGTTATAACTTCGATCGTCTGGGTCCAATAGGACCTTAATGGCACTTAATTAGGTTTTGTCGGTAACAAATGAAGAAATAATCAAAAGAGAACAACATATCATAAATTAGAAGTAAGAGGTTACCCATAACGTATACCTGCAATCGTGGAAAAGTTAAACGAAGTGCAGGATGATGAAATTGAAATTTGGGTCACCCACCCACCCATATCTCGCAGAGCCAAAGAAGAAGAAAACTAATACATACAATTATTTTCTTTTCGTATCAATGCATATCACTTCTTAAATCGAACTATAAAAAGCTGTTTCGTCATCAAGTCAAACTAATACGTTTAACCAAGAAAAAATTGAAGAATCAAATCCTAGTTGTTCCGGACGTCGGTCGAATGATGTCTATAAAATGTAATTGTCTAACAGAGATTAATTTAATCGTGTCGGCATGCTCAGTTCTGCCTATAATAAAAGAGCAATGCATCCCTTTTTTATACCAAACAAACGCAGGCAAAATAATGTCAAACCAAAATTAAAGACTGTTGATTATAAGAATAACCGAATAACGAATTTCGTATCGTTGATTTCGAGAAAACTCTTACTCTACTCTTTTATCAATTGTCAAGACAAACCAATGAAAAACGATTTAGGCAACAAAGAAGAAGACTAAAAAGACTCGGAAAAAGAGTTCTAATCAAACAAAAAATAAACTCCAAAGCCAACCAAAAAATTAATAGAGAGCAGTATAGCAATGTAAAACATAATAAAACAAATATGTTACTGAAATATTACTTTTTGTGATACTTGAAAACAAAAGATTAACTTATTGTTATTTATATATAGAACTGTCTCCACATAATTACAATGATTCCAACTATAATTGTTCAAATTTTATGTAAACAAATGTCATCTAACTATTCCATGCATAATTGTTCAAATATGTCTATTCGCTTTTACGAAAAAAATGTAACAATTACATGTATGATACATCAGAAACGACGACTATAATCTCGTGGTGACAATGTAGATGATAGTGATGAGGCGGCAAACGATAGAATCATGGCAACAATATAGATGATAGTGATGCGGCGGCAACTATAAAGATTTAGTATATCGTGGGGATATACTTTAATAAGAAATTGTATGCTAATGTTTATGTATAGTTTTTTTTTTTTTTTTTATGTATAGTTTATGTATAGTTGCTAAAAAATAATGAACAAAATAAAACAAAAGGAGCTAATTTTTTAAATACCAAAGAATGATTTTGAATATAAGACCATATTGGCAAAATTGTATACTGGGATATTCATGAAGACCGTAAACAATGATTCTCGAACAAGATGCCAAATCATCAAGACGAGAAACGATGGGTTAGAGATTTGTAGGTTTTGTTGATCGTGTGATTGCCAAACTACGGGTTCGAAAGTCTTAAAGGCCTTTATAAAGGAAATGCGTCGAGTTTTGTGCTCAAGGGCCTCATGAGGTTGGGTTAGTGTCAATATGTTACATGATTAGTAACCTATGATAGTGGAGTGGTTTTGAACTACATGTATGAGGGTATTGGTGACGGGGATATGTAAGACCCATGTGCGTTATATGGTATAATATTCATATTTCAATAGTAAAACGCCAATAAAACGACATCACGTGATAGTTAAGATTGGGTTAAATGGAAAAAATTTCTTTTAATGTATCAAAATTCCACCTGTTTTTATTTCATTTTTTAGTAGTAAATACATTTCACTTTGATAGTACATTAAGAGAAAAAAAAATCATTTAGTATTTAGCAAATATTGATGAGTAATCAACAAAACCAAGGCCGTACGAGAAAAGTTGTATACTCTCACTATTATATTTTACGACACATCAAAAAGGAAAATCTAAAGTCAAAACGGGTGGCAAAAATGTGTAAAAAGCTAGAGAGGAAGAATCAATCAATTATGGCATGTGAGTAATAAAAAAAGACACAAAGCAGACACTCTTGTCTTCACCACCGCCACGAGTCCACGACCCACTTTTATATTTATCACCATTTTCTTATCCGTTTGTTACAAGGGGATCTCTCTTTGAAAAGTCAAACCTTTTCATACGTCTCACGTGTTCTTTTTTCTTCACCCAACTCATCTAAAAGGTCAAATCTATGTTCCTCGTTCGTTCCCTCTATGAGAAAATAATACTAATAAACTTTATTAAATAGGGGCTGGTTTTTTCTTTTTTTAGCATATAGTTTACATGGACAGCTTTACAAAGAGTGTGTTATAGTATGGGATTTGTATTTTCCGTGTTTTGACTTTTTAATAATTGTGAATTTTTGACATCTGTTTTATATTTAAACCCAACCTCCTTTCTCTCTTCTTCCTAACTTATTCAAACCAATTCACATCTTCCCAAACCCAACTACTACAACTTGTAGCAAGAAAAAATATATTCTTTAGCTTCTTAATTTGATCAATATATTCATCTGGGTTCTCGTCAAATATTTCTTCAGCATCTTCATCATATGTCAGGAGGAATAATGGATGAAGAGATCGAGATTCCTCCGTTCTTTCTTTGCCCTATCTCTTTGGAGATCATGAAAGATCCGGTGATAGTCTCTACCGGAATAACCTACGACAGAGACAGCATCGAGAAATGGCTATTTGCAGGCAAGAAGAACTCGTGTCCGGTCACCAAACAAGACATAACCGATGCGGATCTCACCCCGAATCACACTCTTCGCCGTCTCATCCAATCTTGGTGCACTTTAAATGCCTCCTATGGCGTCGAGAGGATCCCTACCCCGAGACCTCCGATTTGTAAATCTGAGATCGAAAAGCTCATTAGAGATTCAGCCTCTTCGCATCAAAACCAAGTCAAATGTCTCAAACGACTTCGTCAGATTGTGTCGGAGAACGCGACCAACAAGCGGTGTTTAGAGGCCGCAGGAGTACCGGAGTTCTTGGCCAACATCGTAAGCAACGACTCAGAAATTGGGTTTCAATCTTCAGGGAGTTCGACAGACGAAGCCCTCAACTTACTCTACCATCTCGAGACCTCAGAGACAGTCCTCAAAAATCTTTTAAACAACAAGAAAGGTAACGATATCGTAAAGTCGTTGACAAAGATCATGCAGTGCGGGATCTACGAGTCCAGAGCCTATGCGACTTTGCTTCTCAAGAACGTTCTTGAAGTTGCGGATCCAATGCAGATCATGACTCTCAAGCCAGAGGTTTTCACTGAGGTCGTCCAGATCTTGGACGACCGCATCTCGCAGAAGGCTACCAAAGCTGCGATGCATATATTGGTGAACATATGCCCATGGGGAAGGAACAGACATAAGGCCGTGGAAGCTGGAGTGATCTCTGTGATCATCGAGCTTCTCATGGAGGAGAGCTTCACATCAGAGAGGAGAATTCCAGAGATGGCGATGGTGGTTCTTGATCTGTTGTGTCAGTGTGCGGAGGGACGAGCCGATTTCTTGAACCACGGAGCAGCCATAGCGGTGGTGTGCAAGAAGATACTTAGGGTTTCGCAGACAGCAAGCGATAGAGCGGTTAGGGTTTTGTTGTCGGTGGGAAGGTTCTGCGCCACGCCTGCTTTGGTGCACGAGATGTTACAGTTGGGGGTTGTAGCAAAGCTTTGTCTTGTGCTTCAAGTAAGCTGTGGGGGCAAGACTAAAGAGAAGGCAAAGGAGTTGCTTAAGTTGCACGCTAGGGTTTGGAAGGACTCGCCATGTCTGCCAAAAAACATGATTCTTGCATATCCTTGCTGATGAAAACCAAGAAAACAACGTACAGACATACAAACAAGTCCAATTCTCAAATGAGAGCTAGTTATTCGTCGTATGCTGTTGAAAAAACTAGTGATATATTCATATCATTAATCCAATTTTCCTTAGGTTTCTTCTTCATACTTAAGATGTTCACAATGTAGATAATAGTGAAAATGTTCATCGAATATTCTTTTTATGAAAAACTACAAAGATATCAATAAATCACAAGTTACAAGGCTATCTATTCTCACTTGCATTTTCGTTATGAAAACGCTTTTCAGCTATAAGATACTTTTTTCTTTAATTTATGTATCCTCTTAATCTCCATTATAATCCAGGTAAAAGGAGTACTATACCATTTAATTTCATCATCTCTTATTTTTTAACGAGTAAATGTGTAAGTTTTCGCCTACAATAATTTTCTTTCTTTTGGTTTATACAAATTTTTCTTAGGATTGGGTTTGTAACATTCAAATTAAGACCAAATTATATTTTTTACAAGTTCTTAATTAATCCGATGCACGTTACCTCGTTTTTTATTGCAAGAATCTTTGTATAGTTTTTACCAAAAATATTGGGGCACATGATGTTGGTACATATTACAAAGCAAAAATGTTATACTAGGGTACGGTACCAAAAGAAAATATTTTGTTTGAGATCGCATCTAGTTGAAACTGTATTCTTCCACATTACAATATTAATGTCTTTCTTAATAGAACACGTAGAAATCAGAGTGTTATACTTTTGCATCGCATCTAATGACTCATATTCTCATTGACCAGCGATGTTAGAAACGTCGAATTACTACAGGACGCATTCGAGAGAGTGAAGACAAACAGATATATAAAATACAGAAATAGCCACCTAAAAAGAAATATAAACAAAAGAAGTTGACACAGAAGAAAACTGAGGAGCAGGCCAGTATAGAACCACACCACCCACCTATATTATATCACATAAAATATATTATGTGGTTTTTTCTTCCCTGATATATAGTTTATATATCTTTTAAACAAGTAAAAGCATGACCATTGTTTATTAATATGGGTGTGTATAATGTATATAGTTAAAAGGAAGTAGTGATAACATTTAGAAAAAATAGACAAGTAGTCATATATTGCGAGCAGCTCGCCAAAATCTAGATGAGTTTAAAAGTACAAATGCTGGGTCCAGACTGGACCACAAGTTGTAGCTGTAGTTGAACAATACTCATACCATTCATAATTCATAAATAATAAACATAAAAGTCTTCGACTTGATAAATAAAACAGTTGTATGTGTACTGTTTCTCAACCATCTTATGAAATTATGGATCGAATACTATTACTTGACACATGCGTGATTGCGATAAACAAAAAAAATTATATACAATCACGATGAATGAATTCAGACAAAATAACTTTTTCTACGTTACTAGTAATACACGAGATTACGACGGATTATTGTATCTAAAACACGTAGGAATTTTATAAACTTTGCATTCATAGTTTTTAAAAATTTGCATTCTTTGAATTGTGTAAAGACATTAAACATTTGATCAACCATTATTATTTGATGGTAGCTTATTATGGTTAGAATGACTAATCTTTGTAATTTCTTCTTTTGTTAATACACATGGATGGTCCAATAAGAAATTTCAATCATAGACATAGTGAATTCGAACTTCGTCTTCTTGTTTTGGAATTTCAGTGCACCATATAAAATTCAATGAATACATGCTTTAGATATATCAGTTAATATCCATATCGTTATTTCTTTCCATGGGACTTGGAGTAGTAATTGCGACCACCAAATTTATTGCTACATTAACGTCTATTCCCGTGAACAATAATTGTCGTATGTGATAGATACATTCTGGTGGATAAGAATCAGCCCCATATCCACATATTTATACATAGCCATGCTTTTATGTTTTGCTCCATGCAATATTATGATCCAAGTACACGCGCCGGTATGCATTTGTTAACGCATGCATTATATATGCAAACATATATCATAAATATGTGGACCGGGACGTGAAGGACCAAACAATTTTGACGCCGCAATAGAAGACTCGTTTTTATTTGATCGTTGTATTATTATTTAACGAGAGCGAGAGAGTTGATTTCACTGCAACGTAGGGTTTAAACTTAAAATTAAATGAATGACTTGTGATTTTAAAAATATTAATATATACAAGGACCTAAAACAGACACGTAAAGCCCCACTCTCTACGGATATGGTGTAAGAGCATCTACATCTAACAATTTTGGGTGATGTCTTCCCTAATAAAAAATAATTATATAGTTAAAAGAATTAGTGAAAATGATATAGCTGAAGATAACACTTTAGATTTACTTTTAACCGAAAGACCTTTCTTATTGTAGATGTAGCTCATGTTCATTGATGTAATTTCTAATTTCTCGGATATCAATTCTCGGTTTTCCGCGGCCAAAGGTCTGATCATGATAGAAGACCTCGAGCAAATTGGCTATGAAGATGGACCTCATTTACATGACATTTGAAACTATAAGCTAACAATGCTATAGTCGAAACTCAACCTCTGTAAGCAATTGGCATTGAGAGAAGAGACGAAATTGCTAAGCATAAACAAATAAACAAATGTTTGTTTTCATTTCAACTTAAACATTATAACCACAAAGAAAGAAAGGTAGCTGCAAGCCTGCAATGGGAAATGAGATTATCGCCACTACAAAACTCGGGCCTAACCGAAACAAATAAGCCACAATTTTATATTGTACAATCACTAATGAACAGCTCTAAAACTACAACTTTTATTACCTTTTAAAATTTAGGCAGAGTTTGGAGTCCCAACTATTGACCTCGTTTTCCAATAACTAAGGTTTCTTAATTCCTCTACACTAAGATAAGACTCACTGGCATTTTGCTTAATACCTAATGTTTTGGCTACGTAACAACTCCACCACAGCTGAGACCACTCCTTTCCCCTCCACCGTTATGTCCAAACTCGGATCCTCTATCTTCTTATTCAGCAGCTTGTCCACCTCTCCCCGCAATCTCTGCACAATCATATTATCCTCTTCGCATCACAAAACATATGAAGAACAAGAAAGATCTGACAGAGATAATCCAATGTTACCTGTATCAGTTCCAAGACGTTCTTTGAGGCTGAGAAATGGAGATACCCTCCCAACATCTCTATACCTTCCCCGGTTTTGCTTGGCATAAGATTGCCACCAAACATAAGGAGTGCATAATCTGATATGTTTGTCGAGTCTCGGATATAAACACTTGTTGTCTTTACCTTTTCGCTGTAGACCAAGTACGGCAACGAGAAGAGATTCACTCTTGCGTTGACAGATCCAGGGTGAATATCAACTTTACCCAACTCTTTAGTATAGAACGCAGTGCGCTTCCCTCTTCTTTTGCATTGGACAACATTTGGGTACAGCCCCGCACACAGAACCGCGCTTATCATCTCCATATCGTGGCTATATTGGTTGTATGCCTGAAAAGCACCATGTGCATGTGAAAGGTTAATATAGATTCTATCAGCGTTCCAAATATAATTGAGTTAGTAGAACTGGTTCCTGACGCTTACATTTGGCTTTGATTTGTCTACGAACCCTATATCTGATAAAAGATCAAGAAACTGGTTTCTCATATCCTCCATCATCCTTAGAGTTACAGGGGAAAGAAAGTTTTGCCAACAAAAATCTTTTTCGTTTCCACCACGCTTTGCATCCCGATATCCCTCATATGCCTTAAGAAGAGCAATGTGATCACTGCACAACACAGAAATGCCAAATCTTTTCTGTAAGAAACAGAACACAGTGACCTGATGACTGACTGGGTGTGAAAATAACGTAATTTGCCTCTAGGTGTCATACCTGCAGGAATCACCAGCAAAATATCTTTTGGCTTCATCGGCTTCCTCTTTCCTATTTAATGGTAAGACAAATGGGCTACGATATGCCAGAGCAGCGGCGATTGTCAAAGCAGGATTGACGCACTGGAAGATAGCTCCAATCAGAAGCATTTTTCCTATATTTGGGTCCACGGGTAGAGTGCAAAGATGCCGACCTGTAACATGATGGTTTTGAGTATAGAAACAATAACAAAAAAAAATGCACAATGATAAAGACCAGAGGTGCTGCTCACCAAGGGGTGTAAGCTCTTCCATGTCATTTAAAGCCCCAATTGTTTTGAGAAGTTCAATAGCATTCTCAACAGCAAGTGCATCTGGTGGCTGCAGTGCCTTTGCCAAGAATGATCCTATGGATCCAACTTGCAAACTTTTGATATGCAGGCATAGCTCTTGCAATGGAGTCCGTATGATTTCTGGTAACTGATACTGTGGAAAAGCATCATAGATAACTTTTGGATACAACCTATAACAAACTCCAGCTTGAACACGTCCAGCACGACCTCGTCTCTGCATTTGTACCAAAACCACAGAGAAAAGCACGAATTTTAAGGTCTTACAAGCACATATATGATCTGGGCGCAGTACTTAGATCATTGAATGAAACAATTCTTGATTACTGATAGACAATTTGATGGTTAGTCGAATACCTGGTGCGCTGAAGCCTTTGAAATCCATGATGGCAAGAGACATGCCACCTTGTTCAAAGCATCATAGCTAGTTTCCTTTGCTTTACCACAATCCACAACATATACAACATCATCAATTGTAATACTACTCTCGGCAATGTTTGTAGCCAAAACTATTTTCCTACAAAAGGAGATCATTCGCTAAGAAAAGTTGCTACATAGCAGAATGATCAAAGAAGAAATGAAGAATCAATAGCTCAGAGGGCTAACCGTTTGTTAGGAGGTGGACGGTCAAAAATTTCACGTTGATTAACTGTCGGCATTGAACCATGTAGAGGAAGAACTAAGAACTTGCTAGAATCTCCAAGCAAGTTGTTCCCATTAATTTTCTCAAGCAGTTTTGAAATCTCATCCCAGCCAGTAAGGAAGACAAGAATCGCCCCACCACCTTCAAGACGACAAATATATTCAATTGTTGCCTCCACCTACGAGAGAGTTTCAAAGATCAGATTCTCCAGTAAAAGATGATATGAGCTGGATTACCAAGAGAATAAAGTGAAACCCATACCAGATCCACATCAATCTGTGCACCAGACCATGCTTCGAGAGAATTCCTTGTGGCCGAGCTATAACTTTTATAGTGAGAATTGATGTCAATATCCTAAAAAAAAAAAACTTAATAAGGCAGACTTCAAGCTTTTAAGGTAAAACATATTCTAGT